TTGAGACGGAGTCTGACTCTGTCACCCAGGCTGGGGTACAATAGCGGGATCTCGACTCATTGCAACCTCCGCCTCCCAGGTTCAAACGATTCTCCTGCCTCAGCCTCGGGAGTAGCTGGGATTACAGGCACGTGCCACTGCGCCCAGCTAATTTTTGTATTTTTAGTACAGACGGGGTTTCAACATTTTGGCCAGGCTGATCTCGAACTCCTGACCTTGTGATCCACCCGCCTCGGCCTCCCAAAGTGCTGGGATTACAGGCGTGAGCCACCGCGCCCGGCCTGATTTACAATTTTTACATCTTATGAGCAGGAAGTTGCTTCTTTGAAGAGAAACTTAGTTGACCTAACAACTCCTGACCTCAAGTAATCCGCCTCCCTCCGCCTCCCAACGTGTTGGGATTACAGGTGTGAGCCTCCGCTCCCAGTCGGATAAATTGTTAACAGAACAGAGAAATTGTGAACCCCACGGACCAAAGCTCTTCCCACTCATGAACCCGCAACCCAAGTCAGGATTCTCCACTGACGTCCCTCCCGTGATCCCTGCACAAACTGGGAGAGAAGCCGCGCTGCCGATGCAGAGCTACCCAGAGGTCTCCAGGTCAGGGCAAGGTCAAGGCGCAGCAGAGACAGGACTCCGGGGTCGCCCGTCCTGTCTCTTTGGTTGGAAGGGGTTGAGGCCTAGCTGGGCAAGAAGAACTCGGGGAGGAGATTGAGGAGATTGAGGAGCTGACTGCAGGGAGGCCTGAGTCCCGCCACAGCCATTTCCCACTAGTTCCAACCCGTCCCTCTTCTCTCTCGGAATGTCGGACCGGCACTCTCACCATTTCTAGGCTTCCAGGCGGTCCCGGCGTCTTAGCTGTGGATCTCCCAAAACCTGCAGGTCACAGGGCCACGAGGCTGGGCCTCTAGGAGCAGAGGACACAGAGCAGAGAAGACGGGACCCGGAGCTGCGGCTGCAGGAAGAGACAAAGGCCGCGCCAAACCCAGAAGCCCTCCTCTTTGCTCCAGCTGCGTTCCTGATTGGACTGTTCCCGGCCCAACGTCCCTGATTGGATAATGTTTAAGCCTCCGCCCACTCAGGCCCTGAGTGACAGAAGATGTGATCAGACTCTGCCCCGAGTGAAGAGTAACAGCCTAAGCTTCGGCCTTGTCAGGCGGGGTTTCCTCCCTGAGCTGAGCAAGGCGATCCCAGGGACATGGAAAAATGGTCTCTTCTTTACTCTCTCTCTTTTTGCATGTATTTAATAGGTGAACGGAAGTATTTTACTGTCATGTTAATAAAATTTTTGTTCAAGAGAAAATTAACTTTTACTTTGGTAATAGTGTATTATCAATATTAAAGCTGATTTTAATAAAACCTTGTAAATGAATTTATTTTTCACGTCTCAAGATTTACATATATATTTTGTTATGTTTTATAATTTTTTAACCTTTTTATCTTTTATTTTTATGGACGTTCTTTTTAGTTTTTCAATTTGAAACAAATTACAAGTAATTTCAAACTGCTATAGGAGATAGAAATCATTTAGAGCCATTCATCCGCATTCACATTTGTTATGGTGGAAAATTTGGCCTTTTGATCTTCCTGCTGATGAAATAGTCTTTCAAGAGAAAGCAGAGACGCATGAGTATCTACATCGAAAACAGCGACAGTGGTAGTGTGCGCCAGAATTCAGTTATCTTCCCAGTATTTTTTTTTTTTTTTTTTT